ACTCTTTCCTGCTTATGCAGGGGGTCGGACTCAATGATCTATTGAGGTCCCTTCCGACCCTAACGTCTATGAATCTATGAATCTATGATTCCCAACTGGTGCCATGAGATCCTTTAAGAGGTGTTGTGCACTATTAGCACTTTAGGTGTGCAAGCACTTACACATGATTCACAAGCTAAACCCAAAGATTTAAAAAAGGAATTGATGGCATCAACAATATTCTGACCTGTCGTAGTCTTACTGAGATCTTTATAACAGAAGAATTGTTCTGATTATTTTCCATAGTCAAAAATCAAGTTAAAACTAGGAACTGGTATTTTCAGAGGGGTGCCATGAGCCTAATGAGATTGCAAACCACTGTTCTAGAGGAAAAACTTTTATTTTAACTGAAACAAACTTATGAGGAACTTGCAGCTCTACTCATAACAAAGTAGGAACAAAAGTTGGTATCAGAATAAACTATGAAACTCAATACGTATGCTAGCAGATCCTGAGATATGGGTATTTGAGGTCCACAAATTATTCTCTTACAATTATGATGACAATATTCAGCTGCTTGGAGGATCCCAACAGGTCTTGTGATCCCTGATAGCTAGAAGTGCAACACTAGTGCAGTGAGTAGAGAACAGAGCAATCAGCGTGGCTCCCATTTTGCCATGACACTGCATGTGCGTGGAGATTTATCCTGTTTGCTCCTCCCTAGGCAGGTGGTGATTCCCCTCTTCACAGGACAGCCAATACCATCATCAAAGCTGGAGAATGCTAGGGAGGAACTGAATAAAACCCTGTAAGTTTTAAGACTTTTCTGCAGGAGAAGTCCTTCATTGTGGGGAGCATGATCACCCTGCTGGATTTGATGTCTATTGTAGAGTGTCACAACCCAATTAAGTAGTGCCCATGTCACAAGCAAGTAAAAAAACCATTCAAAACAGGTTTTTTTTACACTAAGTTAACTAAGGGTTAACAAAAGTTTTTGGCAGTAACCGCCTTTTTGCTGCGCATGTCAAAAAGAAATTTATTGCTGCGCCACTAACAGAGATAGAACTTAGCCTTCTGTGCTGTACATAAATCATTATAATTGGTCAAAGAAAACAAGGAGTAACCCTAGGATAATATCCAAGCGAAGACCACTAGATAATTGGCGATTCTAATTAAATTTATGACGTGGCAAAAACCAATTGGCTATTATACAAACAAAACCCGTCTTCACTTCCGTGAAGAAGGGGGACCTCCGTACGAACCTTGGAGACCTCTGATCACACGTATCAGAGTAACTGACAACTTGATCACTTGCCAGTGGCCCCCTCGCGTCTCGACCTAATCTCAGACGTAAATCAACGACCTGCCGGCCCGACCTTTTCTCTGCCCGACCACCGAACTCTTATGCAGACCGACCTACGACCTATAAACTGTAACTAACCAAGTATCTCTGACCTCCACTATTCACCACCTTGACGGCGTGAGTAAATAATCTTGCTTTGCAACCAATAAGCGTCCACCTAATTAATTCCACTCCATGCGTCACAAGTACCCGCCTAACGGACCCTTAACTGCCCGGGTGGGAGTCAGGGAGAACTGCTGGCCAGCTGCCCTGGGTCCTGACATAGAGCTCTTGTCAGCAAGTACAGGAGCATGATGGGGAAACATACAGTTCTAGGAAAAAGAAAAGAAATAGTCTGCAATGTCTGAGGACTGTACAGTGGGCAGTTCTGCTCTCCTGGAGATGGGAATGAGAGTCCAACACAGCCGTACATGACTGAAAGGGAGAGCAGGCTCCAGTAAGTCAGAGACCTCATAAAAAGGATGAGTGCTACAAACCAGTCTAGGATGATGCTCACAACTGATACAGCCCCAATTCTGTGCCACTTTCCTCATATTCCTTGTATCATCCTTCATGCTATTCCTCCTCCTTATATTTTTTTCTATCTTTCCCATGAAGAATCTGAATCCTAACGAGTAAGTGAACCTCAACAGAACATTGGTGCTTGGGATTACAATAAAAGCCCACCCTGAGAAGCAGGAGAGGTCACAGTGGGCTTTCTTCTTACAGGGAATCTTCTTCCTGCTCCCAGCCTGCTAAATACCAGCCAGGAACTTCATCAGGTGACAGGTACACCACTTAAAGTGAAGGGTTTGTACCTCCTCTCAGCACTGGAGTACCAACCACAGAGCAGCCTGCACCTTTCTTCCAGATGTTTCAAGGGAGTACTGCTTCCCTTCAGAGGAAGTGTCATCCCGCAAGTCGAATTTTGACAGGGAAAGGAAAACAACTGACTCTGTAATTCTGATTTTGAATGGACAAGGCAGTTACATACCTTCTTACTGACCATGTGTTAATACAAGGGAGAACTGCTATAACCACTGAACCAAACTTTCTGCCTTTGTAACTGTAATCTGAATAAATCTGAATATAACTGTCATCTGACCCCAGCACCCTTTCCTGCCTAGACAGGGGGTTGGACTCGATGATCTGTTGAGGTCCCTTCCAACCCTGGCATCTATGAATCTATGAAAAATCTACTAAAGCCAGCTGAGTTAGACTGGCAGAGAAATTGGCTCATTACCTCCACATTGGCTTTTACCAGCTCAGATGTCATTTTTGCAATAAGCATCATGTAAATTACAGGGAGGATACACACAATCCATTTAGACTTGTGCATATACCCAGGAACTGGAGTGTCTTATCCTTTTGATGCTCAACAAATTCTCTTCTCACTTGTGGCAGTTGCAAGTTAATGAAAGAGAGGATTCTGCTGCTCATATATATAGGAAATTACTTCCTCTCTGTAAGTTGCTGTAACAGGTTTTGCTGCTCTTATGCTCTCTCTCTTTTTCTCTTTCTGTCTCTCCCTCCCTCCTGCCTGTAGGAGCAAGTTGTGACTTGGAGGCTAGGCCCATAATAGGAGTGGTGCAAATGGATAGAGGAAGCTGTGGGAAATGATTTGAACTCTTCTGAGAAGCACAAGTGCCCAGGATCTGAACAGTGCCCAAATTGACGCACAACTGAAGAAGCAAATACAATCTGTGCTGCTGTGGAAGATGAGGAAATAGGAGGAAACATGATGTTTGTTTCATCATCAGACTTTTTTTTTTTTTTTTTTGGGGGGGGGGGGGGGGGTTACATCCAATCCCAAATTTCTCCACCCTGTGTAGTTGCTCCTTGCCAAAGGGAAAGAACTTGAAAGAGAACCGCAGCAGGGCATTTTAAAATTAGACTTGTTTTTTTCCTTTCATCACTGTTTTTTCTGAGCCTTGAAAGTGCTTCCCCCCCTCTTTCTCCCACCCTCAAAAGCAGACATTGCTATGCTCCTTATCTTTATTCCCAGTCCTTTACATAAGCCTCATGCTGCCAGACGGCTTCTCTGCCCTTTGGTAATTTTGGAAGGAGTGAGTCATCATTCCCACCTCCACAAACACACACAGGCCCTGCATTTCTCTTTGTAGAAGCTTTCTATCTCTGGGGCATTTTAGCTTCCTTAGCCTCATGTTTTTTCTTATTTTGCTTGCTTACTCCTTAATTGCCAGAGCCACTCTTGTGGGCTGCCCAAGAGATATTCCTTCCTTTGGTATGCTTTCTGTTTTAACCTCCTATGCCCTTCTTACTTAAGGTTTGATGCTAAAAATAATGAGGCTATTGCTCTTTCTGCGGTGTGGTAGGCCTGAAAAACCAACTTTTGGTGACTTCTACAACATGAAGTATCCAATCTTCTGTGCAAGTCTTGTAAATACACTGCCTGATATACTTTTATTGTTGTTAACATGAAACACGAGCATTTACTAGAACTCATTCATGTGGCTCTAGCCATCCTTAGAGCCAGTCAGGCCTATTGAATGTGCTGAAAGATCATGGGCTTAGGCCTGTCACAAAATATGATAAGCCTCCCTTTATAAGGCTGACCACTGTGGACACATCAACTAATTCTGGAGGACAAAGAAAGAAAACAGGAAGGGGGGTGAGATCATAGCTTAATAACAGGATACCCAGAAGGGGACACCTAGCACAACACACCAGCCAGCACTCTCTGCCACGAGATGAGCTGAGGGATCCTGTGGACACCGATTAGAGCCGGTCAGGCAGCTCTGGCATATGTTGTACGGTAATACTGGCGCTTATTCTTCCTAGAAAACCCAGAGCGGGATTTGTTCGCCCTATAGCTATTTAGCCTGTATCAGACATCTACTTCGCAGATTCAACAGCTGCCAAAGTGCCTTGTTAGAAGGCGGTATAACGTATGTCTGATTAAAAAAAAAAAAATACAGCATCTTTTCTCGGTGATTCTTGCCACCTTTTGCTGTTAAGGACGTGGGCCTGAAACACCGAGCTGCAAGGTATTCCTGACACGCGTCCACCCCAGGTTGGAGGTGGGCTCAACTTCATGTCAACCCCAAACGCCCCCCACTGTGCCCGTGTCAGGCTGGGGCGCGGCGCGGGGCGGGGCG